GTAGATACACATACACAGACAGAGAGAGAGAGAGATAGAGAGAGAGAGAGAGAGAGAGAGAGAGAGAGAGAGAGAGAGAGAGGAAAGAGAAGGGAGCTGGAGATCAGGATAATGATCACACTCTTCTAGAGAGAGAGAGAGAGAGAGAGAGAGAGAGAGAGAGAGAGAGATGAAAGAGAAGGGAACTGGAGCTCAGGATAATGATCACACTCTTCTTGGCTGGATCTAGGAAGATGGGAAGAGTTTGACTTCAGACCCACAGCCTGGGCTCTGGCCCTGTTCTTGGCACCTGGATAAGGCAACCATCTCTCTGCAGAAGCAGGTAGGATGAGGATAAAAATGTAAGAAGGACATAGCCATGCCTTGAATGGGATGGGCCCATGTCCATAGGTCAGGGCAGAGTTAGCTAGGACCCAGGACCAGGGCAGTTCCTCAAAGCTGAGAGAGTTCTTGGCCACCACAGAAGATAGGCACCCAAGCCTTGAGTCCTTGCCTGTAGCCAGAGCCTGGTGTTGCTGTGGGAGTTCAATGTCCTGCAGCACAGGGCTGCAAGGTCCCAGGAGCTTTCTGAGTTGACATGGGCAGGGGCACATGAACCCTGGGGCAGTCTCCCAGCCTTAGGGCCTGCATCAGCACAGAGTGGGACCACAGTAATGTTCAGGGTCTGAGGCCTGGCTCAGCCTCCTGCCTGCTCCCAGCATCTGGCAGGGCCAAAGCCATAGAGCCCTCCACATGGAGGGATGGGGCCTAGGAACTCTCTTGCCATACCAGACTGTACTCAGCAGTCTTGGAGCATTGAGGGCTGGTGGCCCTATCCATGTTCTCTTATATCTAGTGGCATACAGGACCCTGGGTGACTATGTAACACCTGCAGCTTCCCTATGACTTTGATACTCTTGGGAGGGGGTGGCCAGCTGCAGTCCTTCCTTCTGCTTTCCAGAAGGGGAACTTTGTCAGGGATCGGGAAAAAGTAGCTAGGACTGAGGGTGGTACCCCTCAGTGGACACCTTGTGGCTTCCCTCCCTGAAACCTCAACCCAGGATATATCCCCTGCCCCCCTTTACACTAAATCTTCCCAGCCTCAGCTTGGTTCTCCTGTATCCCTTCATGGTCAGAGAGTGACCCCTGGTGGCCACCTGGGGAGCGGGTTCTCCTCATTGCTCTAAGCTTCAGTAGTCAGCATGGCTGTTCTTCCTTGTTCACCTACAGTACAAGGTAGGTGTCTCTGTGAGTAAGGACCTGTGTATTCAGGGGAGTTGCCCTGGGATTAGTGGTAGGTACCCACTAGACCCAGGTTTTTGCTATACTGTCTCCTTTAGTCACACTATGAAACAGCCGGGCTTGACATGTTGGAGGCAGGAAGGAAGCCAAGCTCATAGAGGGTAGGGGATACAGGCCCCAGGGACAAGACTTCTAGCATGGGGAAAAGGGGGCCTCCAGGTGTCCAAGACTCTCATCACTGGTCCCTAAACAAGAGCATTTTGGCCTCTCACACTCCTCACCCCACAGCCTATGGCTCAGCTCCCTGAACTGTCAGTCAAAACCAAATGCCATGCTCTGTGTGATGGACCTTCTCCATCAGCCTCAAAGCCCCACTGAGGTATGGCCTCCTCCTTCTCCAGGTAGCTCCAAAATATCAAATTGGTCCTTCAATCTTGGTTAGGGATGTCAGGCATCCCATGGCCAGCCGCATTTGATTGGCCTAAGGGAAGTCAGTTGAGTGTCTTTGGGGATAGTCCATTTGGGACAGGATGTACCCTGTACTAGGTCTCAGAGCCCTGGAGCCCCTGGGTGTGTTCCCTTCCAGAACCCTTTGCTGCTCCTTTGCTTGTCTGCAGGATCCCCCTTTTCTCTTTGTGCAAAAACTGGGTCTTTCTCTGTTTCAGCCTTGCCTCCTGGAGTAGAAACATGAAGTCCCTCCATTCAGTGTTGGCTGGAGAGAGGGTTCAATTCCCTTATAAAGAATTAGCAATTAGATGGATGATGGAAGAATAGAAGAAGGGAAAGGTGAATGAGGGAGAGGGAGGGAGGGATCATGGATGGGCGGTGGATGGAAGGCAATAGAGAAGAGGGGATGGAATGGATGGATGATAAGTAGATGGGTAAATGGCTGGGTAGATGGAAGAAGACACTGAGGAAGAATGAAGGGTGAGGGTAGCAAAAAGGATAGAAGGAAGGGAATGGATGGAGAGATAAATAGATAGAGGAGGGATCAATAAGAAAGAATAAGTGATGGAAAGGGAAGGATGATGCATGGGAGATAGAGGGGAGGAGAGAAGGATGGGTGCGGTGGGTTTAGAATGAGTGATGGAGGAGTGGGGAGACATGCTCAGATGATTGCTGGAGGGAAGCAGGGTGGTCAATGACAAGGTGTCAGAAAAATACCAGCCATCAGTATAGGAAGGAGCTGAGTTGGACAAGAGGAGAGAGTGATGGGGGTTGATGAATAAAGCACTGGCCAATGAGGCAGGATAGGTGGGACTAGGAGATGAGGAGAATTCTGGGAAAGGTAGGCAGGACCCATCAGAGATGCCATGCTACCAAAGGAGTAACATGCCGGAGGCAGGAAGATAGGCAGGACTAGGAGATGAGGAGAATTCTGGGAAAGACTGGCAAGGCCCATCAGAGATGCCATGCTACCAAAGGAGTAACATGCCGGATTATGGGTAAGCCGCAGCCTCATGGCAATACATAGATTAACAGATATGGGTTAAATAATTTAGAGAGAGCCAATTAGAAGGCCAAGCCATCGGCCAACAGTTTCATATTATAGCGTCCATGTGTTTATTTGGGGCTGAAGGGTGGCAGGACCTGGCAGGACAAGAAACTTTCATCAACAAGAGAGAGCTGGAGGCATTTAACTCCGGGTGCCTGCAGGTACACCAGGTCTGAACTTCCCTCAGCAGAGGCTCTCAGAGAGGTGCTGAGTGCCAGGAACCAGTGTCCTCTGAGACAGCACGGAACAGCATGGAACAAAGCCCTAGCTACCAGACTAGAGATATCAAGGACAAGCCAAGCCCTGGTCTCCAAGGTAGGCCATACCATCAAATTCACTGTGCCAACTGTGTCAACTCATGTAAGTCTGCCAGCACCCAGAGGTCTCCATTGCATAGAAAGGTGCCTACGTCTGAGGACCGTGACATTGTCTGTGACCAAGCTAGGTCTTAGGGCACAGTCCTTAGCCTCACCAGCCCTCCCACTGCAGAGAACCTGGCACCATCGATTACCTGAATCCCCTCAATGCGCTCAGTGACAACATAGGCATGGTGCATGGCCACCAACGGGACCTTCACTCCAGCCATCTGGCCCACAGCACTTGCCCACACTCCTGGGGACAGAATGGAGAGCAACTTAGCTGCCACCCAAGTGGACACAGGACATTCCTCAGCATTCCTGCCTGTCCTGACTTCCCAGTCCAGAAAGGGGTGGGACTAGAGCTGGGAGGAGCCAGAGGTACATCATTCCACCTGCACAGTTGACCACACAGGGTGTCTGGATGGAGCCATGCTCTGTCTCCACTGCTGCCACCCGCCGCACTCCGAAGTCATCCGTCCGCACACAAATGCCAGTCACTGGGCAGTTTTCAATGACCTGAGGTGGAGAAAAACAGCACCTAAAAACCATGTGGACATTTCTGAAGGCCTGACCTC